TGGTCCAGAAAGCTCGTGTTGTGGTACAGTGAGCTCGAAAAGCCTCGAAGCTAAGAGAACATTTATGTTGAGTGCTTGGGAGTTCAAGGTATGGGTCAGAGTGGAAGGAGTAAATTTAGGTGAAATGGGCCAATTTGGAATTTGAAGGAAAGAGTAGAGTCACTCTACAAATAGAGAGTACAGCAGTGTAAGAAGTTGGTTCAGAAAAGGGTGGAACAGTAGAGAAGGAATGAGTTCCAGAGAAAGCATGGAGCTAGATATGTCTCATTTATACAGTGAGCCCTGCCTGACCTGAGAAGAAATATGCATGTATGTCTGGGTTCTAGTACTCCCACTATACAACATTCATACCACCCCAGAAGCACAGTGATAAGAAGACGGTGATCAGGATTGGTCTCATATTATCTATTTGAACTGGGCATTTTCTGAGCACTTCACGGACTATTCTGTGAAGAGGGTACACAAAGGAAAGAAGGAAAGAAGAGAGAAACAAGCATTAAGTGCCTACTATGTGCCAGACACTGCACTAAACACTTTACAAATAGTATTTCATTTGATCCTCACAACCACCCTGAGAGATAGGTATTATTATTATCCCCAATTTCCAGTTGAGGAAGCTAAGGCAGACAGAAGTTGTGACTTGCCTAGGTCATACAGCTGATAAGTGTCTGAGTCTGATTTTGAACTCTGTTCTTCCTGACTCCAAGCCCAGTGCTCTATTCACTGAACCACCTTGCTTTCTCTAAGGGGACCTGGAATACCGAGCATGAATGACATAGGTCAAGAATGTGATAGACTAGTAACAGTGTGTCTTCATGAGATGTCAAACAGGGATTACAGATACCATCAATCAATCAACAAGTATTCATTAAACACCTACTATGTATACAGCTAAACACTATGCTCGGTATTGGGGAGTGTAAGGGGGACACAACAATGAAACAGTTCTACCCCTCAAGGAAGTTAAATTCTATGAGAATCACACATAATAATGCACTTAGTAAATATTTATTAACTATTGACTAGAATGTACCAGGACTAGATCTATAGCTCTGTAACAGTTTTGTTTTTTTTTTCCTATGCAAAAGTCTTCATCCTGAGCTTATTAGCACCACTCTGTTGGTGCCCCACAACCTCTAACAACCAATGACTCTTAGTCTCTGACATAGGCACATCCTGGAGAATAGAATTGTATAGTATTGTCAGTCAGTTGTTGACTTTGTGACACAGTCATCATTACCCAGCTCTCAGTTGGTCTTTATGTCTCAGGACCAGAATGTGACTCTGGACTTAAACAAGTTATTCAAAGGAGACAGGATTCATGAAAGTGGGGTATGTTGTGTGTATGTTGAATGTATCTGAAGAAGGTATCCTTATTCACCAAAGTCCAGGGGAGAAAGGAGACAGGGCACAGGGGCAGTATGATGGAGAACATGTTGTTGAAGATAAATGACAGAACAAAAATAATTTGGTACTTAACAGTGGATTATACACACCTGGCCAGAAAGAGAAAATTGAATGTGGAATTTAGGAAATAGATCAGAAGCCTGGCAGAGACATGATTCAATTATCCAGACATCTGCTGGAGCTTCTGCTCTCTTTTTGCCAGAACTATATCAGCTAATAACTTCCTGATTTGCTTTGATAATAATTTTATCTTTTTAATGGGGAAAGAATAAACAATAGGAAGTTTTATTCTTTATCTGATTCTAACCGTTAGGAAGGAAGTGCTTGCTGGGGTGGAAATGATGGGGAAGTAGTTATTCTCCCCTAGAGAAGATGAAGAAAGCTGCAGCAGACTGATACCCTATATTTTAAGAGAAAAGAGTTCAAAGTGTTTAGAGGTAAGGGGGAATAGTATTAAAAGAAGGAGAGGCTTGAGATCCCCTAGACTAAAATTTAGGATAGTTAATTCTGATGACACAAGAGGAAATGATCCCAAAGGGGAGGAAGAAAAAAAAAATGAATTGTCTAAAGAGATCAATGCAAATGCTCAGAGAGAGAACTCAACAACCAATTTGGATTTTAAGATTTGTATAGAAGATGAAAGCAAGACAGGGTAATAGGAGATAAATTTTAAAGGCATGATCCTGTAAGAGGAGCACTGGGTATGCTAAAAAAGTTCCAAATTTTCTGAGACTAGTGAGGAAAACCAAGGACAAGAAGAGAGGGTTTCTTTTAGGTACGTTGGGGGAAAAGGAAGGTCAAAGAAGGGAAAAGACTGCTGCTGTAGGTGGATGTCACAATGACATATGACAACAGAACAAAGGTTGCCTAATTTATGTTTTGCTTCTGTTTTCTCTGCCAAGGAAAGAAAAGAATAATAGGCTAATAGAGAGTTGATACGCAAGGTAAGATGACAGTAAGACAGCACCAAGCTCCCTTTTACGTGTGCCAGTCACCTAACATCCACTGGTCCTAAAAGAACTGGCAGATGTGATTGCTTAATCGCCATCAGTGATGGGGGATAAGCATTTATAATTATAGTGCCTACCATGTGCCAGCATCTGTGCTAAGAGTTTTTTACAAATATTACCTCATTGGATCGTCATAAACAACCCTGGGAGGTAGGTGCTATTATGATCCTCATTTTACAGTTGAAGAAACTGAGACAGGTAGAGCTTAAGTGAGTTGCCTAGGATCATACAACTAATAGATGTCTGAGGCTGAACAATAGGTCCCAGGCCAAGCCCCACTTAGTGGTCTTTGGCTAACACTGAATGTAAATAGCAATTGTTTGTTTTGATCAGAAACCCTGAGGGTCTTCCCCTCTCAGATTGATTTTTCTTTTCTTTTCTTTTTTTTTAAGCTAGGTAAAAGAGGCCATTCTCTGCCTCATTTCTTACCTAGCCTTAATCACTGAATGGGTATTGCCTCAGTCAAACTGAAACCTGTTAAAGTCCTTGGCTTAAAAAGGCCAAAGTCTCCCACTGCATCCAGGGCCATTTCCAGTCATCCTGATCTATATCTCGCCTCTGAACCCAGATGGCTCTGGAGGAGAAAGTGAGGCTGGTGACTTTTTGCACAGCCCTCCCTCACTTAAATCCGATTCACTAGTATGTCACAGCATCACTTCCCTGATGTCTTGGTCCTTTCTGAGAAAGAAGGACAAACAATAACAAGTATATGAGGCTATATTTGAATTCAAGTCTTCCTTTCTCCAGGCCCAGTTCTCTATCTACTGAGCCATCAGCAGCCTGCAAGGTCATGGAGATTCCCTAAAAGACAAGTGGTTGAAGGATATAAACAAATAGTTCCCAAAAGAAGAATTGCAGTATTTAACAACTATATGAAAGAATGGTCCAAATGACTAATGATAAAAGATAGGAATAGCCAATGTTGTGGAAGCACAGGCACACTAGTACATTGTTGGCGAAGCTGCAAATTAGTATAACCATCCTGGAAAACAGTTTGGAATTATGCAAATGAAGCAGCTACAATGTCTATACCCTTTGACCCAAAGATTCTAGAGGGAGCTAGGTAGTGCAGTAGATAAAACTGGACACAGAGTCAGAAACAACTGAATTCAAATTTGGCCTCAGGCAATTATTAGCTGTGTGACCTTGGGAAAGTCACTTAACCTCTATCTGCCTCAGCTTCTTCAACTGTAAAATGGGGAATAATAATAGCACCTACCTTGTAAGATTGTTGCAAGGATCCAGTGATACTATATTTGTAAAAAGCACTTAGCACAGTGTCTGACGCAGAGCAGGCACTGTGCTTATTCCCTTCCCTTCCCCTGCTGCTGCACATATACTCCAAGGAGGTCAGTGGCAAAAATGCAGGGCTCCACATACACTAAAATACTTAGAGCAGTGTTTTTTGGGGTAGCAAAAAACTGGAAACAAAGTAGAGAGATTCTCATCAATTGGGGAGTGGCTAAACAAATTACGGTACATGAATGTAATGGAATATTGTCGTGCTATGAAAACCAATGAATGTGATGGATGCATAGAAACATCAAAAGATGTACATGAACTGATAGTGTGTGAAGTAATCAGAGCAAGGAAAACCACAGACATAGGACTACCACAAAGTAAATGAAAAGAATGACAAAAACAATCCAAATGGAATGCTGTACAATTATAATGGACAAGCATACCACCAAAGAAGAGTGTTGAGAAAGCAAACTCCTTTGTAGTGATGGTGGTGCAGTCCATGCATACAGAATATTGCAGATAATGTCAGATCTTTTCTTTGCACTGATCAGTTTTATGGAATTTTTTTTCCTTCTCCCCCACCTTCCCCCTTTAACAAAAAAATTCTTTCTTATTGGGATGGCTCTCTGGAAAGAAGGAGGAGAGGGCAGGGAAATCTGGGCAATGTAAAAATAAAATATAGCAATAAAAATTCATTTTTTTTTAAAGGAGAAGGAAAACCTTGTCCTGATTTTCAAAAGAGGAAAAGAAAATTATAGGCCAGTGAGCATGACTGATTCCTGGCAAAATTCAAAAATCTAGTATTAAAGAGATCATTAATTAACACCCAGATATTACCTTTCTGTGACTCAGTACTACCATAATCACGAATACAGAGGAACATATGTTAATTACCAAGCCAGTGAATTTAATTAGCTGGATGCAATATGTGAATCAGCCATTGATTGAACTTGTCTTGAGCTACCAGTCTAGCGCTTTGGGCCACTTCAGTAACTTTCTGGCACATTATGAGTGTTGAGGAGGTAAACCCAAGTACAGTTAGTTTTGGAAAATAACTGTTCCTTAGAAAAGTAACATTTGAGAACAAGGAAATAGGGCTACAGGGTTGTGTAGATAACAACAGACTCTCAGTTTCTATTATTTCTCCTCATTGGCAACAACAGAATCAGTCTTCCTTAGCACTCATAAAATCTCTTTACTTTGAATCTGGCCTCCTATCTTTTACCCACAGTCAATGGACTCTCACTGATGGGTATGCCTATCTCAAGAGATTGAGAGAATGCCTCAACATAAGAGAGCTACTTTTAAATGGGCAGCTTCTATTTCCCAGTCAATTCCTACCTCATCTGTCTTTTTGCTGCTTCCTGGCTTGACTCCAAGGGGCTTTCATGTTCATCCCTTGCTGGTGGAGTTCCAATTTAGTCTAGAAAATAAAATGGAATATCGATCAAAATATTAAAACATGAAATACGATCTCTACATATAACAGCCATCAAGGAGGGGAGAAACCACTCTGGGCAAGGGGCTAGACATCCCTACCAACTGTCACCTACAGGACAGGCAAACCAGCCTAGTTGAAGCAGCAAGGCACAACCAACAGGAAACAACATGTATCAGGTTAATCAAATCCCCATGGCTACCTTGACCATTACTTCCTCTCAAATCCCAAGGGCAGACTAGGACCCTCTCTCAAGAGCTCTAGGAAAAGAAAGGCCTTCTAATTCACTGGTCCTAATTCCAGACCAATAGCCATCCCTGAGGGGAGCAATCTCTGTGGAGAAGGGGGCCAGTGTTCTCACCACCATTAATACCAACTTCTGGCCAAGGGCCACCAATGGGCAGATAAGTTCTAGAACTCCAGGAATAACAGAACCCCTCAAACCACTGGTCCTACTTCTAGCCTAGCCTTCATAGGCATCATTTTGGGAAGTAACCCCCGTGGTGGTCTGACCTGGTTATTGCTTCTTCAGATATTATAGTATTTGCACCAGGAAACAAAGTGGCACTGCCAATGATTCAACATCAGAAACAGGATTTTATCAGTGGAAATGGCATTAAAAAAGATGCATTGCCATCTGCTCGGCTGTTGTACTCTTTCCATGGGAGCTTACTATCTGACATGAAGCTGAAACTTCTTATATATGTTGTCTTCCCCATTAGAATGTGAATTCTTGAGGCAGCTAGGTGGCACAGTGGATAGATTTCTAGCCCTGGAGTCAGGAGGACCTGAATTCAAATCTGGCCTCAGACACATAACACTTACTAGCTATGTGACTCTGGACAAGTCACTTAACCCCAGCTGCCTCACCAAAAAAAAAAAAAAAAAAGTGAACTCCTTGAGAGTAGAAATTGTCCTCGATTTTCTGTTTGTATCCCAAGCACTTAGCACAGTTCTTTGCACATCATAAGTGTTCTGGAATGCCTGTTTCCACAGGCAACACACTTCCCTTTGATCTTAAATCTATTCCTCTCCCACATCTTCCATCTACCAGTTCTTCCTGAAACTTCGATTTCCCTTGATGACACAGCCTTTCTGGCCACCCTTTCCAGTGCTGGCTACATCTTCACTCATTCTCCTCTGTTCAAGGTGGGGTTTGGAATATTCCTTGCTTCCCCTTGCCACTTTCAGGTTCTACCCCTTCTGTCACTCAGTAATCTCTCTTCTTCCATTTTCACATCTCTAACTACCTACTGGACATATCAAACTGGACATATCAAAAAACATAAGATGTCCTATAGGTATCTTAAATGCCACATGCCCCAAACTGAACTCATTATCTTTTCCCCGAAATGTTTCCCTCTTCTTAATTTTGATATTACTCTCTAGGATACCACTCTCTTACCAAACACCAGGCTCCCAATCTAGGTATCATCATTGACTCCTTACTCTCTCTCAGCCCCCGTATCTAATCAGTTGTAAAGTCCTATTGTTTCTACCTTCTGGTGAATGCCCCCCTTCTTTCCTCTGACATTGCCACCACCCTAGTACGCTTTCATTACCTCACACTTGTACTATTGCAGTAGGTTTCTGGTTGGCTTTCCTGCTTCCATTCTTTCCCCAATCCAACTTGTCCTCCACTTGGCTATCACAGTGATATTTCAAAAGCACCAGCCTATCCGACCAAGTTACCTCCCTTCTCCACCCCACCTCCCAACTCTATAGACCACTATGACCTCCAGGTTAAAATACAAACTCCTTTGTTTAAAATCTTTCATAACCCACCATCCAGTTTGAAAACCCTTAAATTTTTGATTCCCCTTACCTTCCCTCCAAAGCCTTGGCCTCTCCTTTTTGATATGCATCTTTCCTCCCTGGCCCTGAAAAGAACCTGGCTCCTGTTTGTCTCTCTTTATCTCCCTTTGAAAGCAAAATGAAGAGGGTTTCATTCAGTTTCAGAAGCCCAGACCTTTGCAGCCTCGCCTTTTGATCTTATTCAAATGCACCTTTGCCCCTAGCCCTAAAAAGCTCCCTTTGAAAGCAAACTTCTACCTTCCACTTCCCTTCATTATCTGCTCTCATTGTCTGTTCAAATCTCTCAGACCTTCCGAACAGAAATTCTCACCTGGACCCTTTTTTCCTAACCACCTCCCCCCTTCAACTGGCTTTTCATTGTGGCTACCCCCAATCTCCCCTCCATTGTTTTACCTTCCTATGGCCCTTGGCCATTTCCCACCCTTAATCTGGCTAGGTGCCAGGAGGTCCAGGACCCAGGAGTTCTGTTCACCCCAGTTTACTAGCCACTCCCATCCAGATCTCCTTAGACCCCTCCTCCAGTCACTCCAAACTACTTGGCCACTCCTAGATCCCTCCCAGTCTTTCTGTACTTAAGATTCACCTTTGCCCCCATTCAGATGCTGGGAATTCCTCATGTCCAAAGGCTGAGACTCTCATGCCTGTTAGTCCTCATGGGTGTCACCTGGCCTAGATGTGATTTATCTTTAATAAACTTTTTCTCTGGCTGGAAGAAGATTTGGGCTGAATTCATTCAGGCAGATCCGGCTCCGCGATCTGGGGCTTTTCCCAGCACCCCAAAACCTCTCGTGATATTGGGGTGCCTCTGTGCAACTAGGAGCAGACCCTTTCCTACTTTTCCAGTCTTCTTACACCCCCTCCTTCCCTACCTACTCCCACCATGCTCTTCAGTCTAGTGCCACCAGCTGTACTCCTCCAGACACCTGTGTGTTTTCCCTGTCTGTCTTCTCGTGGAATTTTCTCCCTTCTTCTTCCTCTTGGCTTCCCAACTTCCTTGAAGTGTCAGCAAGAATCCCACCTTACGCCAGAAGTCTTCCCTTGTCCCCCTTAATGCTAATGTCTTCCCTCTGACATTATGTCCAGTTTATCCTGTCTATATTTTGTTCGTACATAATTGTTTGCATGTTGTCTGCTTCAATAGACTGAGCTCCCTGAGGACAGGGACCCTTTCTCACCTTTCTTTGTATCCCCAGGGCTTAACACAGTGCCAGACACATAGTAGGCACTTCATAAATGCTTGTTGACTTGATTTTGCCTATTCCATACTCTCTTATATCATAATACATAAGATCGTGAATCTAGATCTAGACCTTAGAGTGGATTTTTTTAGTCCATTTTGTTTTACAGATGAGGAAACTAAAGCCCAGAGAGGTTAAGTTACTTGCCCAAGGCACACAGTGGCAGAGCAAAGATCTGAATCCAGATTCTCTCTGACTCCAACTCCAGAGCTCTATGCCACATGACTTTGTCTATTTTATACCTTTTGCCCCCTGAGAGTAAAACACTGGTCATATAGTATTCATTTCTACAGCCTCTCCAATCTTCACGTTTCCATCTCTGTAGCTTCTGCTCTAGAAGCCACCAGACTGGCGACTGCCTCATCTAACCCCCTATTTCAAGCAGGTCCCAGCTATGCCTCACTTTAATCCCTATTCCCTAGTCATATTTTCAATTATCCCACTAACTACCTTGCAATATACATGTACCCTTTGCCCTCTCCAGTTCTGTAACCATTATCAAATCGATCGCTATTGTCCCTGGAGAGGGGTATGACAATTTACTCAACTGTGGCACCACTCACTATCCCTGAAACTTTCCAGGCCTAAGTACCCCCTTGACCACCACTCCCTTATTCCTGTGGTTTCCTCCTATTAGAATGGAAGTTTCTTGAGAATAGACTATTTCTGTATTTGTATTCCCAGCACTTAGCACAGTGTTTGGAATATAGTAAGTGCTTAATTAATGCTTCATTCATTTATATTTATCTTTGTATCTTCATAGTAAGTTCAATTTAATTCAGTTAAATAAACATTTATTAAGCACCTACTATGTGCCAGACATTATGCTAAGCACTTAGAACACAGTTATGAAAAAAAAAAAAGACAGTCCCTGTACTCAAGGAGCTTACAATCTAGTGGGGGAAGATAACCCAAAAAGAGGTTGGAAACGGGGTGGGGCACCAGAAGGTATCCTGTTCCATGGAAATGAAAACTAGGCACAGCTGCAGATGCAAAGTGAATTGGAAGTCCAATTTCTGCCTAATGACTGTTGAATTGAACTGGAGCTCGCTGAGCTGTGTAACTTGGTAAAAACTTGGCAGACATTTTGTCCTGACAACTTTTCTTATGTAAATTTTGGAGCCTTTTTCATGAATCTGTCTTGTTAGAATTAGCCTAATAAATCAATCCATCAATGAAAAAATAAAAGTCCCCTGCACCAGCTAATTCTATTTAGGTTAGATTTTTTTTTTTTCTTAAGGACCACACCTTAAACCCAAATCACTCCAGGCTCTCTCGGACTGGCTAACAATAGGTTCCAGACCAAGCCCAATTTAGTGGTCATTGTTTGGGCCACTGTTTGGTTCAGAGTGAATGTAAATAGCAATTGTTTTTTTTGGCCAGGAACCCTGAGGGTCTTCCCCTCCCAGACTGATTTTTTTTTTAACTAGGTGAAAGAGGTCATTCTCTCTCTGCCTCATTTCTAACCTAGGCTTAATCACTAAATTGGAGTTGCTTCAGTCGAACTCAGACCTGTTAGAGGCCTTAGCTTAAAAAAACCAAGGCCTCCCACTGCATCCAGGGCCATCGTCCTGATCTATTATCTGGCCACTGGACCCAGATGACTGGAGGAGTAAGTGAAACTGGTGACTTTGCACAGCCCTCCCTCACTAAAATCCAATTCACTTGTATGTCATGGCATCACATCCCTGATATCAATGGCTCTCTCTGAAACGAAGGACAAACAACAACAAGCCACATTCTTCACCACCATTCTGGTAACATCCAAGTACTAAATGGAGGGTAGAGAGCTAAACAGAAACGCAATGAAGATGCCAAAGACTTGGGGTGATTGGAAGCAGCCTTTGATCAAATCACGGGGCTAGGATTTAAAAAAAAAAAGTGACTTGGTTGAATTCCTGAGGCCAGTCTGAGTTTCCCAGATCAGTGCTG